CTGTACCAAATTATCTTATCAAAGGGTGAGTGTGAGGTGTGGGTGTGAAAGTATTATATGTATTTTACATCTACATCTACACCCATACCCCCAAAATTGGATTAATAATCACAATTTAAATGTACTTCATGCGGGTATGAAAACATCATTACGGTCCGATACAACTATTGATCTTTTAATATCGAGTGAAGTACCTAAAATATCTGAATGTCACTCTTTGGCTTATACTATCTGTGCTAATCTACCAGTATTTACTAATTTGCTTGGTCTTAATACATCAGCTGAGAATCACGACGTACCTCAAACTTATTGGAGAGTACTCTCTTCTATTCTTATTGCTCTACATGATCAATTACAAACTGATCAAGAAATCTTAATGAACAAATCCAACAATACATTTAATTGATTTATTACTTTTGAAAACGTTTTGGCCGCACCATCTTGGGGATATGGGTGTGGGTGTGGGAGTGAGTATGCGATGACCAGGGAGAAGACAGTTACTTTAATTATTAATGATAATACAATGGATAAATTAATGATAATGAAGTGAGATCTGTTGGAAATATCCAACATATCTAGTGATATATGTAATGGTATATTTCCCTCTTATCATGTTGAAACATTCCTTGTATCTTCTATCATATATACATATGGTTCTTTCCTTTCCTTTCATCTAGGTATGAGACCATTCTCTATCGTGATCCTATATATATGTATACGCACACGCACGTTAGGTATCGTATTCATCCGTTCTCTCTCTACATCTTGTTCTCTCTATCGTTCATTTTCTTGTTGTTCTTCAATAAACACTGAACTCACAGTTCCACATAAACTTACAAGATCAACTGGAGTAAGTCGGCTAGATCCTGTACCAGATACTCGTAGAATTCATCGTAGAAGTGCATGGACGAAAAAACAAGAAACACAATCAATAGCGAAGAAAATATCGTTATCGTTATTCAATTCGAAGAAGGGCTTAACAGCGATTCTCATTACATTTAATGAGATATATTCTTCGTTTGTACAAAATTCGTTTTGTACATGTGAAGAGAGATAATGATGATTTATTAATTGGGTTAAAAAAAGAAGAAAACAAAGATGAAGCTGAACGCAATTTGGCCATGAACATCTTTAATAAACATAGTTATTATTTTTATCGAAAAAAATTCCTTTCTCGTTGTTAAAGAAAAGAAAAAAAAGTTTACATATATATATATTTTTCTCTCAACTGGTGAACTTGTTATTTTTTTTGTTTTCTTCAAAAACGTTTTTTGTTATACAAAAATCTGTTTTCCTGGTCACGAAGGATGTTATGATTCAGAAAGGACATCTACACCTTAATATATATTTCCTTCGTGTTTTCTCCTTTCTCCTCTCTCTCTATATATATATACATATATTTATTGAAATAAAAAAGGGTGTGGGTGTGGGTGTGGGTGTCGGTGTGGATGTGAATCTGGGTGTGAGTTTGTGTTCGAAATAGCAACACCCGTCCCCACCCACACCCTCAATTCAACAACAAAGTAATTTCAATTTGGACTCTGACGATCGCTCTGCTGCCAATAACAGCCAACTAAATTAATACAGCTAAACCATGGATACTTTCAAGAGAAAAGTTTGCTCACAGCAAAACTTTCAGTTTGAGATTATTTTGTCTCTTTTTTTTGATAAGCAATTTTCTATTCATTTCACACCCTACTTTTCTTATTCAAGATTAATATATATGAAAACTACGACTGTAAGTAAATAAATATTACAAATTATTATATATGTTCATCTTTCAGTTTTTTTACTTTAGTTTTCAATGAGAAGAAAGAAAAATAACTTTTCATTCTTTAGAGACTACTACATTCAGACATCATAAAAAATTTTTAAACTTTTGTTCAATATGGATTCTATATATCATTTAGATTTGTATTAGAGTCTGTCAACTAGTATGAATGCATTTTTTATATTAGTTTTATCATGTTTAGAATCCTCAATTATCACGTAGCGCACATAAAAACATTTTTTAGCAAGAAAAATTCCGGTGATTATCATAATCTATGTTTTTATAAAAGCTTTGCGAGTTAAAGTAGAGTAGCCAGAGTCTCTTTCGATTAAGTAACTGCTCAACCATTTATTTTAAAAGAAAGTTCTTTATTTTTTTATGAATGATGTTGACATTGAATAGGAATTTGATTGATCAAATTATGTTTTGTATAAAATTCTTTGATATATGTTGGCGACTCTACAATAACAGTAGCCATTCCAAGTTGTAAATGCCAATCATTATGACAATGTAACATCCATATACCCGGATTATCTGCTTTAAAACGAACAATTACATATGAATATGGATTAATAGTAAATGTATCTCGATAAATCGGATTCTTCAAATTATATTTGATATTATCTAATGTTGTTTCATTTACATAACCATCATTTCTTTTTCCTTGTGCTAATATCCAAACATGATGGCCATGAAGATGAAATGGATGAGGTGCAAAATCAATATTATTAATAATCAAATCAATGATTTCATCATTTTCAACATGCATAGCTGTTGGCATCGATAATTTTTGAAGATTATCATAGAGAAGTAATGATAATAAACTTCTATTTGTTGGATGAACAAATGTATGATTATTTAAATAAAAATATCCAGGTTTACTGCCTTTATGTTGAGATTCAAAAAAATATTTTCTTACATTTCCACCAATTGGAACATTAGAAATCATTGGAATCAGTTGTGATTCATCACTAAATATTTCTCCAAAAGTTATTGATCGGTTGATTATTGCCATATAATCATTTGATGAATTGATCATAATTAAATTTTCATCGACATATTGTAAAATAGCTCTAGCATTCGGTTGAATAGCTGAATGATATTGATTATTATAATCAATAAATGGATGCATAGTTGCACGTATCCAATAATTTCTATTAGAATTTTTTGTCGACGTAATTAATACAGAATATCTTTGTCCAGGATTTAAACGAAGACTTTGAACGTATTTTTTTCCATTTAAATAAATTCCATCTACTTCAATCAATCGCATTCGATGTTGATCAATAGTTAAAGTGATCGTAGCATAAACGGATGTATTAATAATTCGAAATCTTTTCGTTTGTCCTAATCGAATCGATGCATGATAATACGAACATTGTCTATTTAAATCACAATTAAATTGTCCAATACCATTAATCAAAGCTGTATCGGGTATAGGATCCAATGTACCAGGATATAAATAAGTTTTTAAATGAATATAAGCGGGTATATGATACCAATCTGTTATTTGTAGAATTTCTTCATCTTGATAAAAACTTTTCCATGGATCATTTGGATCTTTGATAATCAAAATACCTTTAAGACCATCACCATATTGCATTGTATAATGTGAATGATACCAATAAGTACCTGATTGATTCTCGGTAGAAAATGTATATATAAATGATTGACCAGGTAATATTTCACATTGAGTAACACCTGGAACTCCATCCATATGTAAACTATTACGTTGTAATAAACCATGCCAATGGATTGCTGTTGGTTCAGATAATTCATTAATTAATGTTATATTGATTAGATCACCTTGATTGACGATAATCGTAGGTGCTGGAATTTGATCATTGATGGTTAAAACCGGCCTTTCATAAGTGTCTGGTGAAGCATTAAACCATCGAATATGAAACACAGCGTTGTACACATTAATATTTTCTATTCGATAAAGTAGAGCAAAAAACAATATATTACTGAGTAACGCGAAAACGAGTAAAAACTATTTGAGGGTGTGGGTGTGTCTCTTCTTACCATTGAATTGAAATGTTGATGAAGATGGAGATTGTGGCAAATGAAAAAAGAGACTATCCGGATAAAAATTAGAATTTGGTTGTAATTGTAACCGACATTTTGCATACGAAAATACTAATTCTTCTTCTGATGATATATCTAACACATGTCCAAGATTATGACGATTGGATGTATATTCTTTTGGATTACCCAGAATATCACGTATAATTTCACCATCTTCATCATAAAAACATATTTGTACATTAATTATTTGATTCATATTATTCCGTTGACCAATTAGTATTTGTCTATGAAATAAATCATTGATACGAGAAGTAAACTGTAATTGGTAAACATTATTTTCTAATTGACTATCACTGATCATAGTTGACAGAGTTGCAATTGAGAAAGTTCTCCCTGGACTAAAATCATCGTCCAGTTGTTGTGAAAGATATTCTAAATAAACATAACAAAAACCATTAGAAAATGAAATTTTTCTATAAAATTCAATTTTTTGCCTGGTATTTCGTCATTATTGCTCTCAGACTCATCAGAATTATCATCACTTTCTTGACCATCAACACAAATAACTGATACAAGGACTATAGCAATAAAAGGTATCATAAGAAAATTATTTACTAAAGGCAACATAGTAATGATGAAAACCGTATTGTCAATCTCACTAGTTATTTATTCATTTCTGAAAAGATTGATAAATATTTTTGTTTAACATCTGGTTTTATTTTCTATCCAAGTTTGAGTTTATTCTTTTCGTTTTTTTTTGAGAGAAGAAAATATTTTAATTCATAACAACTGCTTCACATATATCAGCTGCAATATATATTTTTAGTTAGATTTTATTCATTAAGTTAATGATAAAACATGAGCAGTCATAATTCATCATTACAAGCATTTTGAAGCTTCCGATGTAGAATGGTTCATTATAATATCTATAGAATTTTCTTTGAAAATTATTCATACAAGATTCATTTTGACTTTCATTGTTCATTTGATGTGGCTGTGATGAATATAATAGAAATAGAAAAAAATAACTGCGTAGTATATTAGAAAAAAACCCCCATAGATTTCAAATTATCTATCATGTGTAAAACGAGTAGTTCACGCATGAAACTCTCATCAATTAGATTACTCATAAACTTTTTATGTCTATTTTACACTCATCATAATTTTATTATAATTATAATTATAGCTAAATTAACAAGTGATTCATCATTTCACAGCGTAGTGATGGATCTCTTTTTTTTCTCTTTCTCGGCGAGATGATGAACAGAGATAGCATTGAATAAGATTCATTACCGTTACACTCTCATTTCTTCATAACGCTAACGTTGAATAAGCTTGACGATACATTTACTTCTAAGATGAACGAATCTTCTAGTCTTAATCTTGCATCAAGTAGTTCTGTCCCTATTATCATTCAATTATCAATATATTTACTCACAATTTTTCTTGCCATTGCTTACACAGCTCTCATACTGATTCGGCCAACATTTCGTAACAATAAACTCAATTGGTTCACAATCAATGTTTGTCTCACAAGTGCATGGTTCTGTATTATTATGTTAGGAACAGGTGTTCAACAATTACTAGACGTATATAGTGGCTTATCGTGCCGTTCTCAAATTTTTCTGGTGGATGTGGCCTCATGCCAACTAATGTATTCACATTGTGTATTTGCTATTAGTAGATTACTTACGATTGTTTATGCACATAAACATATCTTTCATTCAAATCTATCTTTATGGAGTTGTATCATTCTTGGATGGCTTGCTGCTTTTCTCGTCGCTTTACCATTGTTATTTGCAGATAGTTTTATATGTTCTAGTTCAATTCAAGCAGTTGTTTTATCGTATTACATTCTCATTACAACTATATTCTTGCCGATCATAATAGTTACTGCATGCAATGCTCGCACTCTCACATATATACGTAATTCTACACGTCGAGTGCATGCAACAAACACCACCGGTGGTCAAGTAATACATAGACGTGATGTGCTTTTGGTCAGAATAACAATCGGTACGTTTGTGGCTTTTATAGTTGGATGGACTCCTACGTTTGTCATACAGTTATTCAATAGAACCGATTCTGTTCCTACCATTTTGAACAATTTTTTTCAGATCTTACCATCGTTCAGTGTACTTTATAATGTATTTTTGTTGATAGTTACTAATCAACCAGTACGTACCTATCTGAAACAATCCATTATTAGAATCATCAAATTTTAATGTTACTGTTTACCGAATCCTGTCAGTCCACTAAATACTCTATTATCTTGTTCTCTCTTTAATTAAAAATAAACAGACAAAAAAAAATCGAAATATCGATAGGCTTTTTATTTTCTTATCTTGCTTCTAATTTGAATAATAAAAAAACTATTGAAATAAATAAAAAGATGCATGAATTGATTATTTCAAGCCAAATAATGTAGCGTATCTTTGTCTTTTGAATCTCGTCGAAAATATTCTTTCTCAATTAATATTTCGATATACTTCTAAAATAACGACAAAGAATATTTTCAATATAATCTCAAGGAAATTTACTTTGATTAAAGATATATCTGGTTTAAAATTTGAAGTAAATTGTTGAATAACTTCTTGTATTAATAATGAATGTTTTAGTGTTCGTTCTTTTTTCATTATTCCAACGAGAGTAGCTTGAATAACCATTTGGCGTTCGTCAATCGTTATTTTCATTAAATGACTTTCATCTTTTTGTTCGTTAGGTCTAAATGGAAGATTTCATTTCATTTTTAGAATTTTATTCAAAAGAAAACTTACCTTATGAAATTTTGTGCCAGTTTAATTCGACTATTCGATGTACGAGAATCGTCAGTTATTAATAATTTGTTTTTCAACAACCCTGAAAGAATCTCGAATAATAACTCCGAACAGATTTGTGTTTTGTCTTGAATTTGTTCAAATGTCCAAATTAATTCTTGATTGAATAATAATAAAATCATCATTTGATATGTTGACACCTTTTTAATGAATAAAAACTTCTTTCGGATCCAATCTATTAATTTCTTCTTACCTGTATTCGATGTTTTTTTGTTGTAAAATTTATTTGTAATTCTCCTTTGGAATATTGATGAAGTAATGTCAGTTTTCGACCAGTATGTTTACTAAGATAAAATGTTGTGAAATTATCATATATAGTTTTGAATTCGATTGGTAAAATTATATCAGATGGTTGAGAAAATAACCAACAGTTTGAACTAAGAACCATAACCGAAAACAAATCTACGAAAAAAAATTTTTGCTTTCAGATTATTCTTTAAACAGATTTTACTAATTTCATTTCCATATGTATTTTTCTGATGAGTTCGATATTGTTTAGTTAAATCTTCACTTAAACGAATATCTTTCATCATTTGTTCAAGTTTTGATGTATATTCATATCCACATTTTTTCTAAATAGAAAAATAAAACAATGAATTCATCTATCGCATTAATATCTTTACTTTAAATTCTGAAATTAATGTTTCTTCATAAGACTCTGATACACTTAATTGATCAATCAAACGTTTTCGTAACATTTTCTGATAGAATTTCATAAAAACATCTTTATCATTGAGATAACTAAAAATAATCTAAAAAAATAACAAAATAAATCATTTGAGAATAACTGGAACTTGAAATATCACTATTATATTATTCAGCTTTTCATTCCATTCGTCATTTTGTACAGCTTTATTTCTACAAAAAAAACAATAAATTTCAATTGAATGATATAAGTGAATCTATACAAACCCTTTTCTGAGTGATGTATCACAATATCGAGCGAGAATTTCTGCTAATGTCATTGTGATACTAATCCTTTTTGATACTGGATTTTGATTGATAAATTTAGCATAACCCTATATTATACATTTGTTTTACATTGAATCTCAGAAAATAAAAGAATTTACTCTATCGAAAGCAACAACAAAACTTTGGTCCCCTACAAAGGTTTCCTGGATAAGTTTTAGATATTTTGCATGAATATTAAGAATTGTTTCAATGTAGGACAATGGATTCTAAATATTATATTTATAATACATTAGATAGATTGATAAACTTACATTAATTAGATCGTCACTGATAGACTCAATTGCTTTTTGATAAACGTGAGTTTCAATTAACTTCAAAAATTCATTTTTGAATTCTGGTGATTTATGAATTGGTTCAAATAACATAGTTAGTTCTATAATAGTATAAGAAATTCGATAACTATAAAAAAAATTAGTTTAATAATATTTACCCTGATAATTATTCTCATCTGATACGAATACTATAAGTTTTCCTACAATAATATTGAGAATATCAGTTGGAAAAAATATTGTTTCTGCTAAGAATATCAATGTTGATAATGTTGATTTTTTTTCAAGATAAGTTCTCGCTTGAATGATTTCATAATTAAAGTATTCTGCTACCTGAAATGCATCAATGTATTTTGTATCGATTTAATAGAAGTAAACGTACCATTTTTAAATATTCCAACAGTTTATCATTTGATTCGATAACGGGAAATTCTTTTGAACGAAAAAAATCTTCTGTTGTTCGAAGAAATTTATTCTCAAAACTTTTCGAATGAATATCATTATTCATCATTTCAAATAAATTTTTATCAACTAAAAGATTTTTCAAATTAACGAAAAACAAGAAGAAAATTATCTCCTTACAATACAACTGTAGAATACATTTGATCGATTCTGTGTCAACAGGCAAACGATTCTGACGATTAATATCGATTGACGTTAAACATACTTGTATTAATCGTTGGAAGTGTGGTTTTAACACAATTTCTATCCAAAGTCGTTGGGCTAACTATTTGTTGAAAAACTTTTGTAAAGATATTAGAAATAAAATATAACATACTGCATCAAATTTATAGAAACCACGTGTTCTAGAGTCAACTTTACCTTGAGCCCAACGTAGGCAGAGATGAATATAAGTTTTTTTCAATACGTTAAACAGTCTTTCATATCTGCATTGAAGTTCTTTTAAATATTGAAGAACATTTTCATTGGATATATTATCAATGTCCTTAAATAAGAATAATTAGAAAGTATTTAGCAAAATAAAATTAACAAGCAGATATTCATCGTACATATATACTAACCAGTTATTTTTAGTAGTATAATTTCTGTCGATTTGTGTAAAAATAGATAAAGAATCTTACCTTCGATATATTGTCGAATTTGTTCTGAAAATAATTCTTTAAATGCAAATATAAATCTTCTGCTCTCACGTCTAGTCCTTTACTGACGCATAACGGATTAGTCGAAACTGAATAGGCATATGCATTCCCAATTAAACAGTCGAATATATGTCTATAAATCACAAATGAAAACAAATTAGCAAAGACAAAAGAACTTACCTATATAACTCTAAAATGGTGGTGATATTTTTATCAAAATTGAAAATTGCATCAATCGTATCTGTAATTTTCTTCAAAATATCACTTTGATTATTTTCCGACATATCTCAGTCTTCAGTAGAAGAATATTGATGAATGAAATTCTAAAACGGTATTAAATCAACTTATGTTTTGATTATCTCCATTATGGCTCTTGTAAACGAGTTTATTTTTTTTATTAATGGTAGAGACATGTTCAAAGTTTATATCTATAAAGACATGTCTAAAGGAGGTATTAAATATTTCCACTGCGACTTCAGGAAACAAACTGAGTTTTTTTTTATCAACAATAGGGATATATCTAAAGTTTATACCCATAAAGACATGCTTAGAGAGACTTTTGGTAAATATATTATTTTTTTTCCTATACGTGAAAAAGTAATTTTTTTTGTTGAGGTCAATATTGATATTTAACAAAGGATCTTTTTAGACACGTTTTTATCGATATAAACTTTGAACATGTCTCTATCATTGATAAAAATCTCAGATCGTTTACACGAGCCGTATTGGAGATATTCAAATTCTTTAATCAGTGTAGAAGAAACAGGTTCTTTATTCTAGCATTTGAAACGAAAGCATCTGCTATTGAATTGCGATGTATATACATTGGCGCTTTCGGACTCTGACACTTGTGCAAGAGTACAGTTCAGTCAATCGGTTTACAACTCTTATTTTGATGTTTGAGATATTCGAAAACAGAAGGAACGTGTAAAACTATATATATTATAAAAACTATCTCTTTCCGAAACTTATAACGATCATAGCTCATACAAACTCGCTTGGAAGCTTTACATATGTCCAAGATGTACGTATAATTTTGAGTTCGACTTTCAAAAACTAAATTAAAGTGCTGTGTGACGATTTTAATAAAAGAATTAGGAAGAATATACGTTTTCAGCTTTGATTTTTTTGAATAAGTTCTACTCGCAATGAATAAATCAGAAGTTTCGATTTTGTTAAAAACTACCTTTTAATACCCTAAATCTTACAGCTTACTTTTTAGTCGTCTAAATTGCTTCATAACAAACCAATGTCGTCCTGTCAAACTTGATAGTACTAGATTATGTTTAGCTCTGTTGACACCTTCAACAGCTATCTATCAACTCGAAGTTAACATACGCAACCTCCGCAACTTTTCTCGAGTAAATATTACCTCAGAAATATAAAATAATCAAGCTCCACGATTCAAAGCTGACAGTATATGCTTTTTTTCTCTGAATATGACATTTTTATTGCTTCTGTAAGCGTTACCAAATATGTGATATGACAATAAAAAAAATAAATATCGTGCCAGATGCAAAGTATTATTATAGTTCTTATTTATATAATAAATCTCATATACAGAACGTACTAGTATCGAAGAAAAAAAGAGAAAGAAAAGCGAGAATCATAGAAGGAGAAAAAGAAAAAGCAGTAGAGTGAACGTGGGTGTGGGTGAGTCGAGTAACAGACCATGTGCTTCGACCTGGAGGGTATGAGGGTGGGTGTGAATACTGTATTCAACTAGTAGCCTCACCCACATCCTACATTCTAAAAACATGGGTATTTGTTACAATGGGGAAATTCTTTTAGGTTTTTCGGGCAATTCAGAAATGTTTCTTGTGACTTCCGATCTATTCGGATACCCTAAAATAGTGATCGATAGTGACAAGTACCCATTATTTTTATAGTGTAGCTTTATTTGAAACCTTTATATATGGTGCGAAGCACTGTTTAGCAGTCGATTATAAATCTTCAATCACTTCCTGTTTTCTTGAGGTTCATACTCGATTTTGTAAAGATCTACCAACCTCTAGACGCTCGTTCAAACATTATCAGAAAGATAGATATCCTAGAATGATTATTCACTCGACTGTACAGGGTGTGACTGTAACAGTAGTCTAAGATAATATTCATTCTCACCCACACCCACCCTTCAAACGAATAAAACAATTACATACAGCACGTATATACCTTCAACACCTAAACAAATTCTTCAAGGATTAACATTTCAAACACCTTATGTTTGTATTTTCTGGAAGGTCGATGGCGAACTGAGAGTGGTGCAAAAGTTGTAGAGTTCTTATTTCCCTGTAAATCAGCATGAATTAAAAAGGTTAGATTGTTGTATAGAAGGTGATTTGAAATCGATCTCACTAGAAATAAGAGAGAGGACTAAGCCCAATAATGTAGTATTTATTAAATGAATTAGTTATTGAATTTTAGAGTTTTCAAACTGAAAAATGGTGATAAAGATAAAGACAAAGACGATAAAAGATTGCTATTTCTACTGCAACTGCACAATTTGTTTTGTGTTGATTAGTTGTGTATCCCAACGTCAACAGTGTCCAGGCAACTTGATCATATTGGTACCTGCAAAAGACACAGCTGCTTGAGCGTAGAGACGGCCGACTACACTGGCCGTGACACCGACAGTAATTGACATGTGAGCAAATATTTGTCCCATGAAGGAGCTGTTCGCTCCTAACGTTGCGCTGCTTCCTACCTGCCAATATATATTCTTGCTTCGTGCACCGTTGAGAAGAACAATCTTTGTATTCACAGAAGTAATGAGGGTAGTGGCCGTTTGAAAGATAAATATTGCGTTGGGGTTTCCTCGAGCATCGAGATAGAGAGTCGTAGCCTTCAGTGTAAGAAAACCTGAGCCAGTGCAGTAGACACCTGGAAACAGAGTTACACCTGATAAATCTGAGTTAGCAAGGATGTTGTTGCACGTAACACCTTTGAGGTATCCATAAGCAATCAGTTCGTCGGCTGCACAGTTTATCGCGAAGACCGTATTCGCTTCCTTCGTATAGTTCGTACCTAACACTGAAATACCAGTGATGCTTGTGCCAGGAGCGACACCCACATTGCCACAGGCCACATTGGTTTCCACCCCATCGAAGGTAATGGCAGTGCCAGCTTGAATAGAAAAGTGAGCACATCGGCCGATGATAGCTGCACCGTTCATGTGTCGAGCAGCCGCATCGGAGATGCACATGATAATAATAATAGCAACAATAATAAGTGGAGCACGAAGAAGTGGAACGAAAGGCATCATTGAAATGAGAGAGAAGTGTATGAGTGTGTGCCTTCTGAACATCATTATATATAGAAGAGAGGAGAGCGATGATTATTAACGAACAAAGGAAGTGATACATAAAATAACAAAAGAAAGTAGATCGACGCGCCGGTGCTCGATATATGAGAGAAAGAAAACTGAGTTTTCTTTGTGTTTCTATTGTCAACATACCGATTTAATTCAGTATAAATAACTATAATTTCTAGTGTATTGCGCAATTTAATTCAACGAGCTGGTACCCAATACAAAAGAAAGAAAACTGATCCTTTTTATGTTTTTCTTCTCAATGTACCGATTTAACTCGGTATAAATAGCAATAATTTCTAGTGTGCTGCGCAATTCAGTTCGACGAGCTGGTACTCGATAAAATAGAGAGAAAACTGAGTTTTTTCTATGCTTTCCTTATCAGCGTACCAACGAGTTATTATAATTCATATATTATACATAAAAAACATAAGCCCATAATGTGCAAAAGAAAGTTAGTATACTGAATGTGTATCTTATATTTATCCACACCCTAAGTGAATAAATATGTTGTTGTAGTGCCATACATCATTTATTTAATTTGCGATCATGTGCTGAAGTTTCAAAAGGAAAACTTTTTGTAGATCCACTCATATTCTTGGATTGAAAATACGATATTTAAGAGAAGTTGTAAACAACTTCTGAAATGTAGCAATGTGGATAAACAGGAAAAACATGATAATTATCTTCCATGCTTTTCAATGGACTATTCATTGACGAAAATGTTTGAATGAGAGATAAGAATCCAAATACAAGAAAAATTCTTAATAAATATGTCTGATAATATTCTTCGAATATATATAGATAAGTATCGCATGTAACCCAAAAATCATGCCAAATAAATAAACGCGATGCAAAAGCTAATTCATGAACAATATTTCGACGAAATTGTGGAAAATTCACATTTTATATTAGTTTTATCCGAGTAATATTGAAAATACATCAATGGAAAATAAAGAGCGTAACCAATTATTATACAAACCCAAATCGATTTTTTAATTTCATCAACATACAAATATTGATCTAGAATAACATAAAAACCATGCCATATAATAATTGTAATATTAGAAATGATAATTTCATATAATATAAAATTCATCAAATTGATTTTCCATCGATTCATCTTTGAAAAGAAAATCATTTCTTAAATATATATGTATTCTATTTTTAAAATAAGAAAATATACTTACATGTTCTGTAAGAAAAGGACATTCAAACTGAACACAATATTCAATAAAAATCCTATATCTCGATAGAAACAAGCTAGTGGCACGAATCCTTTTAGGATTATTATCTACACTATGAGCCCTACCTATAAGCAAAATATGAGCTCAAACGGAGGGTATCACTTGGTGAGCTTCCCTCGTAAGATAGAAAATAAGTAATAGAATCTCATCAATTACATATATAACTACCATATCCATAGTCAGTATAATCTAGTCCATCAAGATTATATGTTAATGCATAGTCATTCAATGAATTTAACATTGTAACAATGAGATTGCATCCACAATCTCAGAAGAGAACCAGTATTGAAGAGAGAGAAGACAACTAGTGAGAATCGGTTCAATAATGAATAATAAAAGATATAAACCGTTTGATTTAACAATATTTCCTTTATTATTATTATCAACAATAGAAATGATCTGTATTAATCGATGTCGATTCGTGATACTATCAGAATCAGGAAGTGGTTGGGATAATTCAGAATCAATAACTTGAATTTGTTGTTGATTAGAATATTCATTATCAAAATTCTTTGAAATGATCGAAAATCGACGGTGATTATTACTTGATACACTAAGATGACGAGTTTTGCCGTCAATTCAAACAGCAGGTAACCATGATCAATGTACAAATGGAAGATAGTTCAAGTTGTTTTATTGTATAAAAATAAGACTCTGTATCATGTATTGAATTCGTTATAAATTGTCTATTCTTTGTTGAATGATCAACAGACTGAATCGACTGGATATTAATGAGAAAACTTCAATGGTTTCAAATTTTGATTAAATTTCATATAAATTGACATTTCGTACTATTGATAGAGTCTGTACAAATACTTTTCTGAATAAGAATTATTAAAGAAAGAAAGAAAATTTGCATTTTGTTGTTCTGTTTTGCATGCAATATTCATCGTAAACAAGGACACAACATCGAAAAGAACTTATTATATTTCTAATTCTATTGCGGTAATGTAAATACATATATGGTCGTTGATCTACATTACTTATTTGACAAGACGAGACGATGAGACAAAATACAAGATGCTAATTTGAAAGTAAAGACGAGTGGGTATAGGTATAGGTGAAAGTGATCATAGTGTCAATAATACCTCAACACAGTGAATTCAACATGCAATTGTCTCTAATCAATATATGTTTAAAGTTGATTTTTTGTTATTTATTTTGGAATATTAAAATTACAAATGAAATGTCTCACAAATTATATATAGAAAAAGAGTCATGTTGACTTTCTATTTTTCTCGGACTTAAACATTTCATTCAGTATTGTGAATCGTCTTTTGATAAAGACTTTATTTTCAAGTTTTTAATTCATAATTGTGAAGATATAGAATATAATGTACGATAATTTGTTAGTGATAACATAGTAAACGTCGCATTGTTCTTTTACCAATATCAATAAATGTTTGACGAAAAACACTTCCACTAAGTGTATAAAGACAGAATGATATACAGTTCGGTATGAATGCCATTAGAAGAAAAATATTAAAAAGAAAACCTTCGATTATTTGTTGAAGTAATGCTTTTTGTTGATAAAATGTCCATGACAAATAAAGTGTTATTATCGCAAGTGGTAAACTAAATAATGTGAGAATTAACACTTGAATAAGTAACATTTTGGTTAAACTACTTTCACTTCTTCGATTTGTTGAACCAGTATGTTCATTGTTAAGATTTGTTGTTACTCGTCGATTGCCATGAATATTTTTAATGGTACTGAAACCAAAGACAAGCATGACAATCACTGGAATAATAATGATAAAGAATGCAATAGCGAGATTATTGTACATTTGACATACATCTGATGTCGTATAACATTTGATGGGGGTACCAACTTGATTTGCATCGAAACAAAAGAAACCTTCCAACCAAATGAGTAATGAAATAATACAAATTGATGATATACAATAATAAGAATTTTTCAGTTTACTCATTTGACGTCGTTGAACATTTGGAGATGATGTTAAATAACGATCCACACTGGCAAAAGCAATAATCCATGCAACTATACAACGTGCCGATAACAACAGAAACATCAGAAGTCGACAAAATGCTGATACTGTTTCTGTTAAATCAGCATTTGGATTCCATCCAGTAATAGACCGAGGTGTAAGAGCTGTTATGCAAAGAATTAAATTGGCTAAACTTGCAACAAGAAAATAGACACAACAAGGATTTGAGCGAAGATTTCGTTGTGTGAACACTAGACAATTGCAGAGATTTCCAATGACACCAAGTAGAAGAAGGAAAAGTGTTACATAACGATTGATTTGCTCTGTAACTATTTCTAACTGAGCAGCAATAACAAAAGTAGACATCTTGTGTTTGCTCTGTCGTCAAAGATAAAGAAAATGATAAAAAAAAACTAATAGTAAAAAAGTAGAGTGATAGTATAATCTCTCTCATTAGAATTCTCTAATATAATTTCACTCAACGAGGCGTTTCCGTTCTAAAATATTTATAGAATCATACTCAGCAAGATGTTTATATAAATTAGCATACATTGAAATCTTCCCTAGCCTGTAATCTTTCTCAATGCAAGAACAATATTATTATTAATAAGACAACATAATTTTCATCCGGAACAAAACTAGAAAAATGAACGATGTTGTCAAGAAATCCGGAAAAGAAAAAGTCAGGAAAAAGAACAATATCCAGGATGTGGGTGGGAATACGCATATAGATGAAAATAGTATGTCATTATTGTTAAACACCCACACTCTCAAGATCGTATTTTCTTTTAAAAATTTAAGCGCTATTCAATTTTTGCATTATTTTTTGAAATTTTTTGTAAACATATTAAGCGACTAAATAAAATGTCATAAGATTTTTAAGAAAGAATCCATGACAACAACGAGGAATCGAAGCAGAAGACAAAAAATACTTTTTTGATCTTTCATGTGCATTTGAAATACCATGTTTTAAAACTAACAAACACACATTTTTAGCTCATTTGGATGTACTGTTAAAAAAGTTAGTCTAGATCAGCTTTTGACCACTACCAACCTATAACTTACAATTTAGTGAAAAATTATTTTATATATCTTTACTATAATTTTTTTCATAAACTAAAGACTTTTTTTACTCATTATACTAAAAGATAGACCGTGAAAAACTGAACAAAATGTATTAGTTAAAACTCTCAATAACATCTCTTTACTAAGATTATATAGGCTGAGAGCGGGTGTGGATGTGACAGGCTACTACAACATGTTTCGACGTTGCTCAAGAGTCTTTTCAAATGGCTTTAATTTCAATCTGAATTGTCAAAGAAATCTAAATGTTCAATAACATTATTATTCGAGTATTATTCCAAATAATAGATATTTCACTTAGACGTGGTGTGTGTGGATGTGTCTCTTGTATTAGCTCATACCCACATCTACGCCCTTTCTATATAAAGTTCAATTTACGATAGAAATAGACTTATGCACACACAAAAACATATTATGGATCTAACATTTAAAAATAGTATTGCTACGAGAAAGAGCTGAGTGAGTCAGTAGGCAAGTGTTACTCGTAAAACTTATGGTTGGAAAGTGAGATAAAGACACAGAGAATCGTTTTACAAAGCTCGAAAGCAGTCACCCACTTGGTAATTTCCCATCATTACGTTGCGGTTTCTCTGCATCATATTTCTACGTTATCATGAGTAGCTAAAATCTTCAAGGTGGACTTTGATTGTTTGTGTAAATTGAGATAACAGAACAGAAAAAAATTATCTGGTCAACTAGGTAAAAACCAACATACGCAACTGTTTCATATATATATGTGTGTGTAATTGAAATAAATTCTTCAGTTTCAAATAGATCTGAAGAACGTTGATCGTTACTTGTCATTTAATTACATTTGATTCTTTGACTATTCCTATTGGTAAGTATACTGAACGTTTTCAGAAGAAGAAGACCTTGAAAATGTGAGCCAGTGTTCTCTTTCTTTTTCCCACACCCACATTCTCAAGTTTTGATTATTTTTAATTGAATATTGAATAACCTTATTTCATTTTGTTTATATTAAACATAATTATTGTATTTTAAGAGCGAGAATAATGGGTGAATCTAATTTATCATTAACAAAATTAACCGAAAAACAAAATCATGATGATTATAATGTTATTTGGCTTGGTTCAAATAATAATATACCAAATAAAGAAAATATTGTTGATTATTTAGAGACATTTGTTTCCGTCGAAGAGTGTTATGATCACATAACAGACATTAAAAGTGAACGAAAAATTCTGCTTGTTT